TTTAATGCCATATTTGTGAATATGGTTTTACCCATTGCAACTGAAAATTTAGATTATAGCTTTATTGAAAGCATGAGAGAGATTTCTTGCATGTGTTACTGTGGTCATCTTGTGAAATCTTTAGGTGACTTCAGCAATAATAGTTTGTTGCTATATATTATTAACTGATTACTTCACCTGTAAGTAATTATCAGCTTTTTTCCTTTATAATAGAACAATTTTGAAGTTCTATATATTCTTGGCTATTTTTTCTTTTTCAGTGGTGCTAATGGTTTGTTTTTTCCAGTGGCTAAATGTCATATCTTTTGTTTGAGAATATTTTGTCTTTTAATTAAAACACTAAAAGCTTGCCTAAATACTAATCTGTCTTTTTCTGACTTGCCTGTTTTCCTGCTTACATTTTTACTTGCTTTATAGGAAATACTTTTTAATAAACTAAAAAATAATACTGGAAAATCATTTGTACTTAATTTGTTCTTTAAGAACATATTGCCATTAGCTGAGCATGGTGGTGGATGCCTATAGTACCAACTACCCAGGAGGCTGAGGTGAGAGGATCGCTTGAGTGTAGGCTATAGGGTGCTGGGATTGTGCCAGTGCATACCAGCTTGGGTGACAGAGTGAGACCCCTGTCTCTTTAAAAAAAAATCTATTATGAATTGTTTTTAAGGAAGTGAAGATAAAAAGGACATTGTCAATTGGAAAATAATATTTTTCTTAGAAAGTTGGTATATGCTAGTTTTGGAAATATTTCTGCAGACTGTATTTAAAATTTAGATCCTGTATCTTTTTCATATTTGTAGATATGATTTGGTAAATACCAACAAATAATTGTTTAAAAACATTTTGGGGTGGGCATGGTGGCCCAAGCCTGTAAGCCCAGCACTTTGGGAGGCTGAGGGAGGTGGAGGAGTTCGAGACCAGCCTGGCCAACATGGTGAAACTGTGTCTCTACTAAAAATATGAAAAAAAAAAAAAAATTATCCGGGCATGGTGGTGGTGGTTTGTAATCCCAGCTACTTGGGAGGCTGAGGCAGGAGAATCGCTTGAACCTCGGAGGCAGAGATTGCAGTGAGCTGAGATCATTTCTCTGCACTCCAGCCTGGGCGACGGAGCGAGACTGTGTCTCAAAAGAAAAAAAAAAAAAGAAAACAAACATTTTGGTTTGACTTTGTTTGTGCCTTTTTTTGAGTTAAACATTTAAAAAACTTATGTAGTTTTGAGAGTAAATTATCTATTATGAGTGAAATAATTGTAACTTTAGGGTCATTGTTAGGCATTTATTTATTTGGAGACACAGTCCCACCCTGTCGCCCAGGCTGGAGTGCAGTGGTGTGATCTCAAGTTACCACAACCTCTGCCTCCTGGGTTCAAATGATTCTCGTGCCTCAGCCTCCCTAGTAGCTCTGTTGCCCAGGCTGGAGTGCAGTGGCGTGATCTTGCGTTATTACAACCTCTGTCTCTCGGATTCAAGCGATTGTCATGCCTCATCCTCCCTAGTAGCTGGGATTACAGGCACATGCCACCATGCCTGGCTAATTTATTTGCATTTTTAGTAGAGATGGGGTTTCACTATGTTGTCCAGGCTGGTCTCCAACTCCTGGCCTCATGCGATCCGCCTGCCTTGGCCTCCCAAAGTGCTGGGATTACAGGCGTGAGCCACCGTGCCTGGTGACATACCTACATACATACATACATACACGCACATAAGCACACATACACACACATACACACACTTTTTTTTAGATCTCAAGCAGCAAGTAAACATATATATCTTGATTTCTTTTTGAAGTGGTTTTGTTATAAAGTGACGATAGTAGGAGCCTGTCTTGTTTATTGTTGGTTAGATTGCTGATAAAAAATAGCAGGGTTGGTTTAATTAGCAGTGTTAGTAATAAGCACCATGAAAGTTTATTTAAGCTTTTTAAGCCATCCACTAGGGATTCTTACGCAGGACTCATTATAAACTGTGAAGGTCTATTAATGGTCTTCTGTTCTCCCATTTCATGCATATTATCTTGTTTAAAAAGCGCTTACTCTATGATCGTATTTAAGATATGCTCTGTCATGTTATTCGAAGGACAGTTATTAAATATGGTATTGTGTTGAGTGAGTATAGTGCTGATGACTACATGTATAAATCTTTTTTTGCTCTGGGAATGAATTAAATTTTGTATTTTAAGAACTTTTTGTGGTCGTCGAGTGGGTGCTAGATTAAAAAACATTGGTTTAGTCAAACTTGTTTAGCTTTAATATTTAGAAGTATATAAATACTATTTGGATTTTACTTTTGGCATATATAAGTTTAACATAACTTGATTTTTTTGCTGTCAAACTTGAATCTATTTTTACATTTTGTTTTTAACAACAGATTTACTGGTCGGCTATAAAGTAGGCACACTGTAAATGAAGTAAACATACTATAAGTTTATTGTTAGACATGCTTGCTTGGCTTGGCAATATTTGGGAAAGGACTTTAAAAATATGGGATGATTATAATGATATAAGTGATACTATAGTTAAAAGATTGAGTGTTACAGACTATCAGACTATCTTTTTATCCTTCCCTCCTTACCTCTTTTAAGCTTTTTTTTTTTCCCTCACTTAGGCTGGAGTGTCGCCTAGGCTGGAGTGCAGTGGCGCAATCTCGGCTCACTGCAACCTCCACCTCCCGGGTTCAAGCGATTCTCCTGCCTCAGCCTCCTGAGTAGCTGGGATTACAGGTGCACACTACCACACCCAGCTAATTTTTGTATTTTTTAGTAGATACGGGGTTTCACCATGTTGGTCAGGCTGGTCTCGAACTCCTGACCTCATGATCCACCCACCACAGCCTCCCAAAGTGCTGGGATTACAGGCGTGAGCCACTGCACCTAAATCATAAAAAAATTTAAGATTTTTTATGTTCAGTACAGTTGTCTTGAAAATATGCCCAGTATGTTTTTAGTGTTGCATTTGAAAGGTAATGCTCATAATCCAGTCAGACATTAGTATTTTTAAAACAGTTCCCAACTTGAAATGGTTTGAATTACGGTTTTTAGACTTTACAGTGCTATGAAAATAATACGCATTTATTGTGCTTCTTGATTTACCATGGAGTTATGTCAGGATAAACTTTTTGTAAGTTGAAAATACTGTGAGTTGAAAGCACATTTTTAACAGGAAATTTTCAACATATGATGGGTTTATTGGGAGTAGCTGCATTGTAAGGTGAGGAGCATCTGTGTTGTATATTATGAGCTAAATTTTGGTGATACTGTTCGTAAGATATACATTGAACCACTTTCTGTATTTTTATCTTTTATCTGCCTTCATTCTGGCACCTATTCTTTTTTTTTAAATTTACAATTTTAAGATTGTTTATTTATTTATTGAGATGGAGTCTTGCTTTTGTCGCCCAGGCTGGAGTGCAGTGGCTTGATCTTGGCTCCCTGCAACCTCCGTCTCCCTGGTTCAAGCGATTCTCCTGCCTCAGCCTCCTGAGTAGCTGGGATTACAGGCCCCTGCCACCACGCCCGGCTAATTTTCTGTATTTTTAGTAGAGACGGGGTTTGGCCAGGCTGGTCTCGAACTCCTGACCTCAGGTGATCCACCCGCCTTGGCCTTCTAAAGTACTGGGATTACAGGTGTGAGCCACCATACCCTGCCAAGGATTTTTTTTTTTTTTTTTTGAGATGGAGTCTTGCCCAGTGGCCCAGGCTGGAGTGCAGTGGCTCAATCTCAGCTCACTGCAAGCTCCGCCTCCCGGGTTCACACCATTCTCTTGTCTCAGCCTTCTGAGTAGCTGGGACTACAGGCGCCCGCCACCATGCCCAGCTAATTTTTTTTTTTTTTTTTTTTTTTTTTTTTTTTAGTAAAGACTGGGTTTCACTGTGTTAGCCAGGATGGTCTCGATCTGCTGACCTCATGATCCCCCCTTCCCCCCTCTTTTTTTTTTTTTGAGACGGAGTCTCGCTGTATCGCCCAGGCTGGAGTGCAGTGGCGCGATCTTGGCTCACCGCAAGCTCCGCCTCCCGGATTTACGCCATTCTCCTGCCTCAGCCTCCTGGGTAGCTGGGACTATAGGCGCCCGCCACCACGCCTGGCTAATTTTTTTGTGTTTTTAGTAGAGACGGGGTTTCACTGTTAGCCAGGGTGGTCTTGATCTCCTGACCTCATGATCCGCCCGCCTCAGCCTCCCAAAGTGTTGGGATTACAGGCATGAGCCACCGCGCCCAGCCAAGAATTTAATTTTTAAAAAGGAGGTGAGCGAGGGGTGCCTGCCGTGTTGGACGACCGCTTCTCTCCCCACTCCCACCCCCGCCATCTCCACTGGTGCCACAAGGGAGATGGCAGAGGCAGGGAGGTTGAGTGTGATTCCACACCCCTGCCTCATGTACTGCCCATGGGGGTAAACGAGAGATGAGAGGCCCACAGGGCAAAAGAAGACCAGTTTCATTTTCCATGAATGTGGGTCCCTTTTCTGTCGTGCCTCAGGCCTGGTCCACCACATTGATCCTGGCATCTGTTTCTCTTTGTATATTTAAAAATACTATTTATTGAAGTATAAATAAGTGATATTGTTATTTTATATTTAATATTAAATACTGTGGTATCCAAATTATTTAAAAATGAAATAAACAACAACTTATAATTTCATATGGTTATAGGAAAAATTTAAAAATATATAGCCTTTGCTTTGCAGAGAAGTGCTGTGTGATTCAAGCTGTATTAGCACTGGTTAGGTACTACCTATAGTGCAAGCAAGGGGAGAAGAAAAGTTAATGGTGAAATATGGCTTTGAATAAGGAAGGGATACTTTGTTTTTTCTTGTTTCTTTCTTTTTTCTTTTTTTTTTGAGATGAAGTATTGCTCTGTGGCCCAGGCTGGAGTGCAGTGGCACTGCAGTAGTTCTCTGCAGCCTTGATCTCTGGGGCTCAAGGGATCCTCCTCCCTCAGTCTCCTGAGTAGCTGGGACTACAAGCATGTGCCACCATGCCTGGCCAATTTTTTTTTTTTTTAATTTGTAGAGACGAGGTCTCCCTGTGTTACCTAGGCTGGTCTCTAATGCCTGCATAGAAGCCATCCTGCTTTGGCCTCCCAAAGTGCTGAGATTACAGGCGTGAGCCACCACCCAGGCTGATTTAAAGGATAGTTTCTGCAAAAATTGAAAATTTGGTATATATTTTAAAAGGAACCAGAGTATATATTTGAAATTAATTAAAGCCATGTCTGTCAGGGTTAAATTCAGTCACTAAGAGTTCAAATTGTGAATTATTATTTCAGTAGAATGCCTTCTAATATTTATTATGCCTGTTAATGTTAGTTGATATTGATTAGTAAAAGGAAAGCGTACTGTTGTTCTATAATTACACTTTTGACAACAATCATGTGGGTTTTTTCCTACACCAATTAATCACCCAATTCTCTGTGGACACCAAGTGGGTGTCCTACAATTCAGTTCTGATATTACCTAGACTTAGTGCAGATTCCATAGATACTGGGTCCCATGAGAGTGCCTCCATTTCAGTGGCCAGTTGCGAGTCCCAGATTGTCGTCTGTACTTTTGACCAACTGGTTATGAATTAGGGATTCCACACAACCTTTTCCTTAGATTAGGTAATTTGCTACAGTAGCTCACAGAACTCCAGAACACTATTTATTATTATGTATTGTGAAGGATACAGCTCAGGAACAGCTGGATGGAAGAGACACATAGGACAAGTTATGGGGAGGTAGGTAGAGCTTCCATGCCATCTCCAGGTGCTCCACCCACACAGCATCTCATTGTGTTCACTGACCAGGAACCTCTCAGAACTTCATTGTTAAGATTTTTTGTGGAGATTTCCCATTATGTAGGCACAATTTATTAAATGTTGGGTCATTGGTGATTGAATTCAACCTCCAGCCCTTCACCCCTCCACAGAGGTACTAGGGTAGGGCTTAAAGTTCCAAATCTCTGATCACATGGTTGGTTCCTCTGGTGACCAGCATCTATCCTCCAAGATTTACCTTATTAGTGTAAACTCAAGTGTGGTTGAAAGGGGCTTATGATCACTAGGGGAATTCAAAGAGTTTTACAAGCTCTGTGCCAGGAATCTGAGAATAAGACCAACTATTATAACAAAAAATGCTCTTACCACCCCATCACTCAGGACGTCAAAGGGTTTTTAGAAGTTCTGTGCCAGAAACTGGGGGCGGAGATCAAATACACACACAAAGACACACACACACGCACACACAAAATATATGTCACAACTGTAAAACAGAATTGTATTTTCCTTCAGTAACACAAGTGATACATAGAATGCACAGTTGATTTGACTAGTCAAAATCACTAGGAATGATCTTTAGTAAGGGAGTTATTGCTGTCAAAGGACTCTGTTAGTTTTTTCTAATTCTTTTTATACCTGTTAGAAAGTTTTAAAAGCACCAGCCTCACTTCTACCCCACTCAATTTTAAATCTTTTAGAAAGCCCTCTAAGAATTGTGAAGCTGTGTTTTCATGGAGAGTTTAAATGACTTGTTCAAAGGTCAATGATTTGCAGTAACTTATAGTGGTTAGAAGAAAATGGAGTTGTGTTGACTTTTAATCTATGGTTCTTTTTTTTTCTGAATAGATTTTTTTAGTTTTATTGAAATCGTACATGAACAAGAAATTGAAAATACAATCATATCAAAGAACAAATTGTCATGGCTTTTGATGTTTAAGCCAAACAAATTTTGTAGGGCAGATTTCAAAATGGCGTGAAGTTACAACAATTTAAAAACACAGTTAACCTACTTCTAAAAATGCAAAACACAATCATAGGTTATTTTCGGTACAAGAAAACTTAAATGTGTTTGCTTTAATTTCTTAAAACTACTAAGACATAGCACTAGCTTGTATTTTTATTTACAGCATACTCCATACTTCTACGTAATTTATCCTAGATCCAAAAAAATGAAACTCTTCAAAAGCAAAGGTTCTGCAAAATCATGACTTAACAGTGTGCTCAGTTTGTTTTGAAGCTAAAATGAAGCCTGAAGTGATAAAAACATTATAACTCCCAGAATAAGAGAACTCTGTAAGCCTAATAATGTCCAAGAGCATTTATGAAAAGAGGAAAAATAAACGTACTTGAGTATATACACAATAGTGATGTATTCAGCCCAATATAAATGGCAGCAAATTGCTAAAGATGAAATAGTTAAGCAAAAATTTTTTTGAAGAATGTAGATCTAGAGCCAGTCGTATCTTGCCATTATCATTTTCAAGCACTTACTTGTCTACTTCCACTGTTACCTATGAGTATCCTGATAAAATTCCTGGTTGTCATTATTGTAACCATAGTTACCAGAATAGTCACCACCTTGCTGAAGTGGCTGCTGAGCGATGGGTTGAGAGACCCAGTTCTGCTGGTTGGTCTGACGATGCTTGGAATCAGGTTGGTTGTAAGCATCTGCCTTCTCTTGCCTCCTACATTGCCTCCTGATTGCCCCGAGATCCACGGGAACCGCAGCCACGGCCTCTCTGCTGTTGTGCAGGACCCCCTCTGCCACCCCTAGAGCCTCTTGGTGGTCCCAAAGGTGCCCCCCTTTGTTAATAGCCAACTCTACCTCTTGGAGGTGGTGCTCCCCTCCCCCTTGGTGGTGGTGGAGCACCCTGCCCTCCCCTTCCTCCTCTTTCTGTTACTGCATAGCCATCATCATAGCCGTAGTAGGGAGTTTTCATAACCTCCATGATAGTTGTGATAATAATAACCATAGTAATCTTCCTGCCATAGTGATCTGGAGGGTAGCCATATCCACCTCTCCCCCAACCTCTAATCGGAGGCAGCATGCGAGGAGGAGGATGTAGTGATAATCTTCATATGCAGTGCTTATGGAGGCCTGTCTAGCAGCTTGGTGCTCTTTCCTTTTCTTGTCTGGTGGCTTGGCTAAGACTATTTCAAGTTCTTCCCCTTCTATTTCTTTGCCATTCATTTCATCCATAGCCTTAACGACTGCTCCTCTGTCTTCAGAATGAACAAATGCATAATCTTTCAACTTATTTACTCTTTGAAGTTCTCCAAATTCAGAAAATGACTTTTCCAATATTTCGTCTGTGCCCAAATTTCTCACAAACAATACTTTTACCTTAGCTATGACTTCTGGATCTGGTTCTTCACAGGGTCAGTCCATTCAGCTGTAACTGCATTTCCCCATACTTTTACTTTTCCACTCATCAGCCAGCATCTGGCTTGTGATCCTCATATTCCAGGAAGCAGAACTCCCATTTCTTCTTTTTGTCATCAGGTTGATGATAGAGAATAACGTCCACCGAACCCTCTGTGACTTTACTGAATTCTTCCAGAATATTTTCTTTAGTGTTATTCTTCAGAATGGATCCAACAAAAAGTCTGTTGTTTGCCACAGAAATGCGCACTCCATGTTGTTTACCAAAGGGCGAATTTCATAGCTGTCACAGTTTCACAGCTTCCTGTGCAGCTTCCTTTCCACAGAAAGTGATAAATGCATACCCTCTATTCTGACCAGACAGTGGATCTATCATAAGACATAGATCCCAAATGGGACTGGCCTTCTCAAAAAGGGGCACCAACTCATCCTCATATAAATCTCTTGGTATTTTACCTATAAATACCTTTGTTCCAATTCCAGGTTGCATGCCAGAGTACACACTGTTTGATGGAAGCCCACCATACTTCCTGTGTCCTGTGGTTACGTTCAGAGTATAACCAGTTCTCTCAAGCAAGGCCTTGATCTTTGCTTCATCAGGTCCCTTTGTGGACTCTTGCACCTAGCTCCCCTGTTTCTCTCTCTGCCTATAGGTCTTCATAACTCCACATAAAAATGCACTTTTGTTCTAAACATGTGATAAGTCACTTTCCTTGAACTGCTGTAGTACAGACAGAGCTCCTTCATTAAATTCCCTGAGAGCATCAATTGCTCTTTCATCAAGATCGATACAAGCTATCAATCCAGGGCAGAGCTGGGGCAGATGTCTAGGCCCGTGAGAATCAGCACAAGGCACTTTGAAAATTACTAGAAATCACACGTGCATGCTACCCTCCAAGTCTATGATTCTTACGTTTACATGGCAAAGAAGCTGAAGGGGAAACAGGTACACATGTGCAGAATGGGAGACCAAACATGAGAGGCAGCCTTCTAATCTATTCCTGCAAGAATCAACCCAGCCTCACGAAAGCTGCATTAATACATTCATGAGGATAGTCCCGTAACCCAAATGCCTCTTAAAGGCCCCATCAGCTCTCAATACTATCACATTGGCAAATTTCAACGTGAGTTTTGGCAGGAACACACCACACTTAAACCATAGAATAGGATTACTCGTCTCTTTGAAGAGAGATAGACTACTTTCTTCTGTGGCCCTCAAAGGAATAAAACTCTCAGTCAAATCATTGGAATGACTTTTCTATGTCTTTGTAAAAGTTTTCTAGCATTGAGAGTTACCTGGTACCTCTGTCCTTTTTGTTTACTTTCCTTTTGGAATCTTGTGCTCAAGTTGAACCTTTCAGAGTCTATTTATGTGAAGAGTTAAGAGAGGACAGGTCTTTTCAGGAACATCAGTTTAGAATGTGAGGGTAGGTTGGGTGAGACTGAAGAGTGTGGTAAGATGAGACTAGCTAAGAAGAGGCCAGTTTATGAAGAATTTATAAGGAGTTTTAGACTTCATTCTTGGGCGTTGAGCCAGGCAGCCAGTAGGATTAATTTTTTTTTTAACTTTTCGTTTTTCAATAATTTCAAAGTTAAAGTTGCAAAAACACTACAAATAATAATGCTATACTACTCACTCATTCCAAAAATGTGAACATTTTACCATATTAATGTTACCATGTCCTTCCCTCTACCCTCTTTTGCTGGCTCTCTTTCTCCTCTACTCTCTATAGAATCTTTCTGAACCATTGCAGGGTAAATTACAAATACAATGCCTCTTTAACCCAAGTACCGTAGTGTATAGTTTTAAAGGGAATTTCCTAAACAAAGTATAGTGATCAAAATCAATAAAATAATATTGTTACAGATTATTATCTAATCTACAGATCATATTCAGATTGCACCCGCTGATGTCATCTACACCAAAGGGGGAAACCTTTTACTCTTCCAGGTCCAGGATGCAATCCAATCACAAGTTGCATTTAGCTGTCATGTCTATTCAGTATTTCCCAGTTTGGAATATGTCCTCATTCATTGTTTTTTATGACCTTGACATCTCTTAAAGTCCTATTTCAGATTATCTGAGGTATTGCTTTCTGTCTTTCTTAGGTCTTAACAAACGAGTTTACAGCCACACTCTTGTTTTAATCTTCATACAGCTGTTTTCTAACAGTGGCCGAGATTTTCTCTGGGAGCCATTCTTTGATTTTAGCATTGTTTGCTATCTGGAGAGACTGGGAATTTTTAAAACCAGCAAGGCTTGGTTCTTTTTTGGTCAATAGTCTTTCCATTAGCTTATTTCTGTACTCCTGCTTTTTACTATAAACAGTAAGAAGGAGTTAGACTGCATCTCCCACAGAATACCTAGAAATCTCCATGTTAAATTATGCAACTCGTTAAATACATTTTCTATTTTTCATGTTACCACAGGCCATGTTGTGCCTAAACTTTCAGTTACTAATTATGAAGTATTCAGCTTCTTCCAATTTTCAGTTACCTTTTTCTCACTTTCATTTAAAGCCCTTAGTAGCAGCCTCCTAAGGATCATGAGGTTTCTAGTGACAGTGTCTTCATTGCTCATCAAGCTTTCGCTGATACTCTACTGCAAGTCCTGTCAGCTTCTGTCTACTACCTGATTCCAAGCAGCGCCTGCATTTTCAGGTTTTATTGTATGGGAACAGCTCTCTCCTGGTAACATATACCCAGGAGTAATCTGTAAATCTGTGTTGTTAGTTAACTATTGTAGCACAGTAATTTACCCTAAAATATACTGGCTTAAAACTGCAATAAACATTTATAGTCTCATAGCTTCTGTGGGTCAGGAATTTGGATTTGGATTTAGTGGGTGTTTCTGCCCCAGAGTCTATTATCAGATTGCCTTCACATTGTTGGCTTGGATTATAGTCATTTAAAGGCCAGACTAAAGTTGAAGGATACTCTCATTTTTTTTTTTTTTTTTTTTGAGACGGCGTCTAGCTCTGTCACCCAGGCTGGAATGCAGGGGTGCAATCTTGGCTCAGACTCACTACAGTCTCCACCTCCCAGGTTCAAGCAGTTCTCCTGCCTCAGCCTCCTAAATAGCTGGGATTACAGGCTTTCACCACGACACCCAGCTAATTTTTGTATCTTTTAGTAGAGATGGGGTTTCGCCATGTTGGCCAGGCTGGTTTTGAACACCTGACCTCAGGTGATCTGCCTGCCTTGGCCTCCCAAAGTGCTGGGATTACAGGTGTGAGCCACTGTGCCCTGCCCTTTTTTTTTTTGAACATGTAGTCTTGCTGTATCTCCCAGACTGGAGTGAGGTGACATGATCTTGGCTCACTGTAACCTTCGCTCCCAAGTTCAAGCGATTCTCCTGCCTCAGCCTCCCCATTAGCTGGGACTACAGGTGCGCACCATCATGCCCGGCTAAATTTTGTATTTTTAGTGGAGATGGGGTTTCACCATGTTGGCCAGGCTGGTCTCCAACTCCTGACCTCAGGTGATTGCCCAGCTTGGCCTCCCAAAGTGCTGGGATTACAGGAGCTACCACACCCAGCTGCTGGAGGATATTCTCTAAGATGACTTATTCACATGATTGACGATTTGGTGGCTGCCTGTTTTTTTGCTGCATGAATTGTTTCTTAGGGACTTTTGAGTGCCATGTGACATGGCACCTAACTTTTCCCATAGTGACTGATCTAAGAGCAAGGCAAAAGCTGCCATGTGTTTTATGGCCTGGCCTCAGAAGTCACACAGTATCATTTTCTTTTTCTGGCTGAATGTGTTTTTATTTTTTTAAAAAGGTTTTTTTGAGGTAAGAATATATAACATAACATTTGCCATTTTAACCACTTGGATTTAACAAAAAAAATACTGTTATTTTTACTCTCTATTGGATGCATAGGTAAACCTGTTCAGTATGGGTAGGCACTGCATAGGTGCAAAGATCATTGGGGGCATGGAGGCTGTCTACCACACCCTGAGATTTGGGCACATATCCTGTTTCTTATTAAATTTTTACCCACAAGTTTTAGCATTCACTGATGAGTCTAGCCTGAAATAAATAATAGCTGACAAAAGGTAATTTTCTAATTGTATCATTCTCAGTAGCGGGGAGGGGTGGAGTCTACAGAGGAAATAAAAGAGTAGTTTGAGTAGTAGAAGGATAAATGTTATGTCTTTGGTTTTAGCACAAAGGAAGTCGTTGAAGAGGAGTTTCAATGTAGAGTTTCAGTATATTTATTGGTAGATAAAGTGGGTGTGAGGAAGTACAGATAGTGAGAGTACTTAACTTTTAAGAATCTCAGATTTGCTGGGCTTGCATCTGTAGTCCCAGCTGCTGGAGAGCTGATGTGGGAGTATCTCTTGAGCCCAGGAGTTAAAGGCTGCAGTGAGCTATGATCATGCCATTGCATTCCAGCCTGGACAACAGAGTAAGACCTCATCTCTTAAAACAAAAAATTAAAAAGAATCTCAGATTTGAAGACAAAAGGAGTAGGCAGGAAAAATAATACTGTGTCTTCTTCTGTTTTGGTGGGGAAGAAAGAAGAGAAGCATGTAGGTGAATAACTAGGTCACCTGGATAATAGAGCAAAGAAAAGTAGATGTGGGTAGAACCCTATCAGAGATACTGCTAGGCAGATTGGGTATACAAATAAGGAGGCCAAGTGTGTTATTTTCAAAAGTGTTTAAAATAATGGATCATGAGATTGAGGTGGGATAATAGATGTAGTGGAACTAGGGAAGGGCTGGAACATAGAGTTGTAGGAGATGTTGGAGCATGGGCCTAGAGGACTCAGTGAGGTTCAAGAATAAGTATAGTAAGAGTATGAATTAATTGCAGGGTTATGAAGAAAGAGTAGATCATTGTGATTTAATGGTCCTTAAACGATTGGGATATGTTGAGTGATGGCAGCTTCCAGTTGTTGGAAGACAGTTCTCCATGGTTCTCACATTTATACACATTTCGTGAGTGTCAGCCCTGACTGCTTTTGTTCAAGGTTGTTTATATAGCAAGCAAACAGCCTTGGAAAATGGAGGCACTGTCATTCAAATTTCTCTTGTAATTCAGTCCACTGTGTGTATACATGTCATCTGGCCCCAGGTCACCCTGTCAGAAGGGTGAATTTAGGCAAATGCTAACAGTCTGGCTTTTGCTATTGCCATGAGTATTAAAGTCCTCTGTGTCCAATGCAGGAGTCTTGTGTCATCTTCTGCCTACATTCATTAAACTGTGGTAGACTAACTTGTCACTTTACAAGTAGAGTAAGATAAGTCCAAGACAAGTAACTTGTCACTTTACAAGTACAGTAAGACTCTTTATAGTTTTTGACACTGAAATGTGGTTTTAGGCATAGTGAAGAAGAGTCTGAATGAAAGCCGTTGAAATTGAGAATATTTGAGGACTTTGTGAGTTGTTCATACAGTTGGCCTTAACTCGCTGGCACACCCACTGTTGTGGTCCAGGGGTGTCGGGATACTGTGGTTGAAGGTCTTACCAAGATCACATGCAGTAGGAAAGAGTTACCTAAAGAAAAGTAATGGGCAGACAAAAAGAAGAGATAAAGAGATACCTATTAATAAATGATAGAGCTGGGATTTAAAAATGAACTATGTCTGATTACAAAGTCCGTGGATTTTTTTTTTTTTTTAAATACGTCTTTCTGCCTTTGCTTGGAGGCTGTATTAGTCCATTCTCACACTGCTGTAAAGAACTACCCTGAGAATGAGTAATTCAGGAAGAAAAGAGGTTTAACTGACCCACAATTCTGCAGGCTGTACAGGAAGCATGGCCAGGAGGCCTCAGGAAACTTAAAGTCATGTCAGAAGGCAAAGGGGAAATAAACACATCTTTACCATGGTGGAAAAGGAGAGAGAAAATGAAGA